TTGTGGGAACCTAGCCTGAATACCATAGTAAAAGTAATCTTCACGAATTTGAATACCTGTACAAACATGAAGCCATTAGTAAGGGTTTAGTGGGTGTCAATGATCATAGAGTATTTTTCCATTTCACTTAGGAATACTAAAGACATGCTTTCTTGTCCATGGCTATAACTTTGATTCGTCTTTGCCAAAGTTTGATAAATAAAATACAGTATTTTTCCATCTCACTTTGCCCTAGAATCTAGAAAATTATATAAGATCAAAACGTAAAACCCAAAGGGTTTAGTGGGTGTCAATGATCATATAGTTTGCAAAACAGATATAGAAAGTAAAAAATGAAGATGCGGGGTATCGAGCCTCTCGCCATCTAAGCTACATCCCCTTTGATTCTGGATTGGGAATTATTCAGTCTCTCCATTCGCCATCTTATTTATCATCCCAACCTTCAGGCTGGTGTAAATGATGTTAACGATTAAACCTTCATTACAATCAAGGCATTACAGCAGAAGAATTATACGACTAACTTCTTATCATGAGGATCAAGGATCTCTTTTGGAAATTGGAATGTCATCAAAACCCTATGGTAAATCAAACACTAGAGATTAGCTTGGCTATACATGTAGATGTAGTATAATAAAATGAAAGGTTTTTATTACCTCTGGCTTCTTGTGTTTATAGGATCAGGAATGTATTGCTTGTCATCCCAATCTTCAGACTTCCATCATGCATAGTACAAGTAATCTTCACCAGTTTGAAGACCCGTACAAAACATGAAGCAATTTAGTAAGGCTAATCATCAATACCAAGCTATGAGACAACGAAGAAGAAAGGGAAGAGAATGACAGAGAAAAAGATAAGGGATTCGTATGTACATCGCCATAGCTGAATTCCAGGAAGCGTGATAAATAAAATACAATATCGACCTCCGTACCTCTCGCCTGCTAAGCAACCATCTGAACTACATCCCCGTCGACTTTCATTTAGCACAGTTTATTATTAGTTTTTAAATCAACTTGATGATGATTATTCCATTAGCTCTGCTAGCTTTCTGGTATCATGGCATTCAGGGCAATGCCGAAACGAGACTGCACTTGAAAAATTCACTTCTGTGAAAAAACAAGTTGAACCCCGCGTGATTTAGCAATTACTACGATTTCAAGGCCATAACATTACAAATGAGCCATGCATGCCATTCAAAACATGATTGTTTCAATCTCGAATCCAATCATAAACTATGTTTTACACCCAGTAACCGGTTACACGCTTGGGACTAATAAGCAAGTGGTGTTCAATATTTGTCCGTTTACAGGCGTGCAAACACACAAAATCCAATTCTTACTCAAGAAGTTGCCTTGACCCCAACCATCCAGTACGTTAAATATAATGAGATAACTATACTGAAAGTATGACTCGAATGCCTCATCGTATTGTAGAGGAGAGCGCGTTTATCAATTCAAACGAATAAAACGAAAGGGAAAAAGGGGTTTGAAACACCTACAATTAGGGTTGGACTGAAGGGTGGGAGCAATCGCCTCTTTGAAAATTAAAATTATCATATATATTTAAAATTTTTCTATTGAAAATCTACTTTCGTCCCATTAAATTTTATAAATCGATTACTTTTTAAAATTTTAAAAACTCGTCTCTACGTAAAATCTTACATCCGTCCTTACCTACAAGAATTTCTGAAAGTGTTTCCATCAAATTCAATTCCGTAGAAAAATATCATTAGAGAAAGAAAGCAAGTCTAAATTTATTGTAGCTCTACTTACTTTATCCTCTGAGAAAGTCGCCTTAAACCATCTTCATAGCCCATCTTACGAATAATGCTATACATAAATACCTCATGGGGTTAAACACTTTAGTCTCCCAAGTTGACCTTACCCTTTCCTGTGGTGAATTGGTAAGGCCAGGGTGGTACGCGCTCATCTTCTGAGGCAGCATATGGAGTGTCAATCTTGTTACCTAAGATGATGAATGGGATGTTAGCCTAGGCTTCATCGGAGAGGAAAGCATTCAACTCGTTTTTCGACTCGAGGAACCTCTCTTTTTCATAAGAGTCCACCGTGTAACAATTGCATCTATCGACAAATAAATTTCGTATCGATTTGGTTATGCTCAGCACAGAAAAGAAAAGTTAAAATATTGGGGTAATCATCCTCTCCTTCGTAACATGACACTAGTCGCAGATATGAATCAAAGTGAGCACATATATTACTAAAATAAAATATATTACGCCCCATAATAGGTCTCTATAAAACTCGATTTAAATTAATCAATCAATAGATCGAATACCAATGATTAATTCAAAATATATATATATATATAGTACACATTTGCAATGACAGTCATAAAGAGTGATAATATAATACGTAGAAATAAACACATTAATATTAGTGGAATTCATCAAGTTATCTCAATAGTAAAGGAGAATCTTTTTCTCTCTAGAAGATTCAGATTCAAAAAGTTATATCTATCGGATGTGTGCATTCTCAATGTTAATAAAGATTCTAAGCGGATACTACTTTGTGATCATCCCAGAATATTCAAAAAAAATATACTCACACTAGTCTAAGTCATGTGTATTTATTTCATTGAATTTAGATCTTAAAAATAGTATGAATTGAGTAATAAAATATAAATATTTTTAACCAAATATTATAATTTTACACTACTATCAAACAAATCAAATAAGATAGTACACTATTTTTAGTAATATATCAATTAATGCTATATTTCAATAATTTTATTTTTAAAGATAATCTTACATCTTATAAACAAAAAAAACTCTTAAGTACTTTATGACCAAATAAATCGTCTTATTCTATAAAATTATATTTAATAATTTGACATTTAAATTAAAATGAATTTGAAAGGTAAACCTATTTGTTGGAAACTTAATTAATGAGTCCAACACACACTATAGAGACCTTTTATCTATCATTAATTTATCAACTTTTTGATGTTGGTTAACATTTTATATTTTAATTTTTTAATATGCATAATAATAATTAGGTAGATCATATATTATTTGAATAGTAAACTCGATCATATTATTCAAGAGGAAAATTTATAATTAAAAGAGAATAAAACATTTTTATTGATATACAATGCAAATATAATATTGCACACTTAACTCAATATTTTTATTTTCTACTTCAAACCTTTCTTATTCTAACTCACATTTTTTTTTTGCACTCTTTTCAATTTTCACTCTAATAACAATGATAATTGTTACTCCTATTTATATATTTTAGTGATCATTGGATTGTTAACTCATGTCAGCATCTTAATTATTAATCTTATAAATATTTAGAATTTCCTATAAATAATTTTAAATATAATATTGAATATTATAAATATTTGAATTATTTTATAGATATTTTAAAAAATTCTTATCTTTATCTAAAATATTATAAAAATATAGCATAACAATTGAAAGATTCATAATCACCACAAAGACAATGTTAACAATCATAAAATAATTACTTTTTACCGCAACAGTTTCACTATTAATCATTCTATATTCAGCTGCAACCCTATTAAATACAATCTTTGAGATATTAAATGGGCTCCAAATAAAGTCATGAAAGTATTACTCTTATTAATGGTGCCCTTGACATATTTACACTTATAGTGATAGAGAGTGATATTATGATACATAAAAAATAAATATATATCAATATTAGTGTAACTTATTGAGTAATTTAAGTAGTAAAATGAAATGTTGTTCTTCCTAAAGAAATTAGATTTGAGCAATTATATTTCATGAATCAAATGGCTCTTAATTACTTTACGATTAAATGAATAGTCGAATTATGTAAAATTTATCATTCAAAAATTTGGTATTCAATTTTTTTTTGAAAGATTAATCTATCTATCATAAACTCGACGAGCCAAATGCACATACCATAGAAAACCTAGGATCCATCGTTAATATATCAGTTTTTCACGTTGATTAACCTTTTATTTTATAATTTTTTAGTGTATAATAATAGTTAGACGACAGGGACAATCATATATCATTTAAACAGTAAAATCGATATAAAATGATAGAATTAATTATTATTATTTAAAAGACATAATCAATCATATATTAAAACTAACACAAATATTGTTGACACATATCAATGATAACTTTAACTCCTATTTATATTTTTTAATGGTCATTAGATTGTTGACACGTATCAATATTTTAGTCATTAAACTTACAAATATCTAGATCTTTTGTACATAATTCTAAATATAATATTAAATATTACTAATACCTAAATTAGTAATAATAAAATATTTACAAATAAATTTTTGGGTAAAGTACACAAATGGTCCTTCGACTATAAGGTATTGTTATGTTGAGTCTCTCGACTATTAAAAGTTATAAAATGGTTTCCCAGCTATAGAGTGTTATTTTGTTGAGTTCTCTAACTATTAAAAGTTATAAAATGATCACTCGACTATTCATATGTTCCAAATTCGTCCTTTTACATTAACAAATTGACCAGTTGGATGTTAGCTTGTTGTCTATGATATAATAAAATATGATCCTAGAATCTCAAACGACTATCATATCTCAGCTAGCGTGTTAATATCTAGCTTAGACTGTCGTCGGTTTTTAACGAAAAATGGCGAGCTTGTAACATATGAATAGTCAGATGATTATTTTGTAACTTTTAATAATCAACGGACTCAACAAAGCAACGTTCTATAGTTGAAGGACTATTTTATAATTTTAAATAGTTGAGTGACTCAATAAAGTAGTGCCTTATAGTTAAGGGACCGTTTGTGTATTTTACCCTAATTTTTTATCATAATTTAAATTACTTATTTAAATATTTATGCAATATCGTTTTTAAATTAATATTATAATTCTAAATGAGCTTGTCATTTTCCAACTTAATTGTAGTTAATTAATTTGGCTTCTACGCAACTCACCTTACTCAAGATTCTAATAAATATATTAAAAAGTATTTACAAACGACGTCTTTTTCATAGACGGACTCCGCCCAAATCCATATATTCGCGTGTGTTTTCTTAAGATTAACAACAAATTGATCATCGTTTAATTTCTATTTTGTGGATTGACAGACGACAAGGTGCGCTGATTCCCCGAACCATCTCTAATGTTCTTCTTCTTCTTCATCTCCTCCTCTCTTTTTGTCTGATTTTCTTTTTAAAGGACCATACTTTTTCTTATTCTGATTGTTGAAGACCTTATAAGATTCGTTTTCTTATTTTTAGGCATAGTGTTGAAGGAATTAAATTTTCTTAAATTTGTTTCTTTTTGTTCGAATTAAAAGATGGGATCATCATCGGTAATAACCCCAGAAGATGTGTTGGAGTCATTGATGAATGATGGAACCATTGATGCTCTCAGGCTGAAGATTATCAATCAGCTTAAAGCCAATGTGAGTCTCTTTTGTCTTTCTCGGTAAATATGTATACGAACTGCTGGAATTTTTATCTGGTTATTTTTCTTTTAACGTAAAAATATTCCGTTCAGTGATTTTCTGGGTTAATGTCACTACAATATGTGTTTTTATCATGAAGATTTTTCAAATTCAGTTATGCCCATTGATTTTTTTTATAGTTTTAAATGTGATTTTTTTTCTTCCCTTGAATCCAATTATCAACCGTCTCACTGAACCCTTTTGGTCAAATGTTTTGTGATTTGCTCTTATCTTCTTATCCTTTGCCCTAATTCACTCCTTTGGTATTTCTGCACTTGAAACCCCACTTGATATTATTAAATGCTGCAAAAGTTTATTTCAGTGTCAATTGTCAATATATGACGTGAATGAAGCTCTGAAGTTAAAGTTACACATGCCTTCCCATTTTTTCTCCAAGGTTGAACGTTGTGTTCTTTCTTTGGGACTGGATATAAAAGTTATATATTTACTGTACTTACTAAAGATATAGTAGTACAATTTTTTCCCTAAAGATATAAAGTTTTCTATGTGATTGAGGAAACTAATTTGGATTCTGGAATAATTGTGTTGAAATTTGAAGTTGTGGTGACTTGTTTGTTATATTTGCTGTTCTAACTTGACCGAAGATCATCGATTCACCTAAAATCGTAAGGTCTTATGTGAATTCAGCTATTTGTTCCTTTGAAGTTGCTTATGTGTATCGAATGTGAATTGCTGACGTTATTAATTAGTAATTTTAAACTAGTCTATAAACTTGCATTCCTTGAAGTTGAAGAGTTGACTCGTCATGTACCCTCTGGTTCTATATGATATCTGTATTTTTTTCTCTGTTATAGGAGGAGTTGAAGAATACAACAATTAAAATGGCAGAGCAGAGTAAGGTCCTAAACACCCCTGGTGCAGAGAAACAGACGAAAAGAGAATTGTTTGATGCTCTTAGGCAGGAACTTGAGTGAGTGTTTTCGCTTTTCTTCATTGGTTTTTGAACGGCTAAAACTCGAGAATGATTACATGGTGTAACATAGACCTTTTATGTATTTACTCGTTCATCCTATGTTTGTGTTTATTTATAGAACTTTCGGTCATCATGGACAATATGCTATGTGCTCGCATTAAATGTACAATGGAATTGAATTTTGATATTACTGGGCAGGACCCCAGTTCTTGAGAGGGCCTCAAAATCAGTTTGGGAGTTGATTCTGGACGGAAATGGTTTGGGGAAGGAAATAAGTGAAACGGTGGAGAGAGTCTATTGTAAACTAAGTGGCAGGGAGCCTCCACTTTTTCCTAATTTGAATGAACATCAGCCTGAAAAGAAAGTCGAGGATGAGAAAAGAAAAGGGAAAGAAAAGGAGAATTCAAACTCCAAATTAAAGAAACGGAGTTTCAGTGACATGAATGCCGAGGGAAGTGCTTCTGAAGTTGACAAAAGTAGTGATACTGCAGCTGCACCCGATGATGCCTCGTAATGTCCTTGCCTAGTGTGAAGATACACTGTTGAGTCAGCAAACACCAGTGTTGCAGATCTGGTGATCTTTTGACCAGAAAAGATCCCAACACTGTTGAGTTTTGCCTAGAACAGACTGCAGGTGTTTGGTTGTAGTATGAACCATTAGAATTATTATGACCCCAAGTTGCATTTCCTGCAGCCTCATTTCTTCTGGCTTTGCTAATTTTCGAAGTAGATGATAGGATAACTGTTTTTCTTAGTACCTTACAAATTCCGACTCTTGCAAAATAGATTTGATAGTTTATGTTATATATAGAAACATGTGTTTCCTTTTGATGTGCATTCAGTTCAGACAACCGACTTCTTAAATTGTCCTCTATCAATTCTTTTTCCCCTCAGCTATGGCAGGTTATGGAACCAGTTTGTTAATGCATATTCTGTGTTATTCCTATGAATGTGAAGTTATGATTCTTCATCCCATAAACTTGGTAAATAGTGAAACTCATAACAGTGTGGCCATTGTAAAGTTGCTGCAGCTTGGTAGACCCTAGTATTGGTCTTATTCCAGGAATAAGGGTCGATTTGAATATATTCCGAGTTATTCAAATCTACTCAAACTTTTTATTCTGATTTCAAGTTTGAATTTGTAAATTTTGGATAGTCAAAAACATTAAATGTAAAAATGATGGTGTTTGATCTTTAACGGATTGTTTTGCAATATGATTTTTGATTTCTTTTTTTTTTAATTCTTCTTTTGTTTTAAATTTTTTTTAGTCGAATTCAAACCATAGAATATTTATATGAGAAAATAACCTCAGTGACCAAAAATGCCTTATAATATACGATTTTGACCAATTTTTTTTTTGGATTTGCCAAAATGACCAACTAAATCGCAATGCGATCGATAATTTGCAACGCGATCTCCGGTATCGTAAATCAGTTTCCAGATTCGCAACGCGATCCTGACTATCACATTGCGATTTCCCAAATTCGCGTTGTGATTTTTCTAAATCGCAATGCGAATACGTAAATCGCAATGCGAATTAGGAAAATCGCAACGATATTCTGATTATCGCAATACTGAATTTCAAATTCGCAATCATCTTTAAAATCCCAATCACAACCGGCTTCACCTTTTGGGACTGTTAACTTAGGTGATTTTTAAATGCAAACGTTGTATTATGTGGATTTTATGTGTGAACTTTTAACATTTTCAGTTAGGCATGTATTAGTAACTTGAGTTTGAAAATTACCATGATCTGTTCAGTTGTTATCGATTTTAGTTTCGCGTTGCGATTTTCATTTCGCATTGCGATAGTCATTTTTGCCTTCAACATAATGCAGATATAAATCAACAAAATCAACCATTACATTTCAATCAATTAAACAAGCACAAATAAGAATTATGTTCATATCAATTAAACAAATCAACTTTTACAAATCATCTTTTACAAATCAATTAAACAATAAAAAAATAAGCAATAATTCTTATTTCCTCATCTACTATTGAATAAACTTTTGCAGCCATACATCATTTTCACGCAGCTCACTTATGAGATTAACTTGCAAAAACCAAACATTTGCTCAAACAACACTTTCTACACATCTAAAACCTACAAACAATAAATAATTAAATTCTAGGTACTTAACCAAACATTTTCAAACCAAAAGCCTATAAACTTACCAATTGTTTATGGACATTTTTATAAATGCAGGTAGACAGCGTCTCGTATATATCGATCTAGCCATATAATGCCGAAACTACAAGCCTACTGCAGTTCTATCTCTATCGGTGGGAGGTAGATACTTTATACTTCCTGTGATCAAACGCTCCAACGCCAAGCATACAAGAGGACCACAATCTCCTCTGGGTCCATTCGTTTGTTGTGGTGCGGTCTCGTCTCTGCTAACTGTAATATTGAGCTTCTTTGGCTTCTTGTTTCCAGAACGAGTCTAATAATTTATCGCATCCAAGAATTTAGCCAAATGAGAGCTCCATCCCTTAATAATATCTCTTAAATCAGCCAATGATATGTAATTTATCATGCTGTTATATACTATTGCCTTAAGGGATGGGAGCTGAAGCTCGACGAGAAGCCAATGTTTACGTTCCAAAACAGGGATAAACACCTGCAATCATAAGTAATAATTCATTCATTTGCGCACTTATTTATGAATACCTTTAAACTTAATCTAAAATAAATACTAACCTTATCGACCTCCCACCATGCAGGATAAAGTTTAGCTTGTCCATTGCCCAACGCAAATGATTCATCTCGTTGATTCTTTAAGTGAACGGCGTTAAAAGACGTCGATATAATTGTATATCGTGTATTTTTTTTTTATTTTCCTTAAGTTTCCTAATTATTAGAAGACGTGACACCCACGCATCGATATGCTGTTTTACAAAAAAAGACATATATTAGTAACTTACATAAATTAAAAAAAAATAATCAAATTGAAATATAAGAAAAATATAAGACTTACCCCTCCATCGAAATAGCCATTGTCTTCAACCCCTAATAATACGCCCCATCAAGACCGATCAAGCAACAAATAGATATCATCGTTGAGCTTGCATATGTCAGTGAAACACCCCTGGCTCCGCTCATGTAGATAAAAATCAACTGCGGTCTTAGCCCAAAGGGTGTTATCTAGAATTGTGTCTGGTAGTTGTCTCCTCTCCACTTCAGATACCAGAATGATACTGGCCGGTAACTCATACGAGAGCCAACTATCATCCATCATGTCCGGCACGTCAGAGGGTTTCTCAAGAATCCTACATATGACTCCATATGAATCGGGCTCTTGAATGGTGGAATGAACCTCTTCAACGATGACAGTGACCTCTTGAACAGTGGGAGGGGACTCTCGAGGAATGATAGGGGCCTCTTCAACGATAGGAGTGGACTCTTGAGGGATGACAGGCGAGTCGGGCTTCTTCTTGCGGTGTCTTCGCACTATTGGGGTCTACGGAGACTTAATAGCACGTGCACGTCGTCTGATGCGTGAACTTTGTCGTGCAAGAAAAACCCGACGTAAAGCATCCACCTTATCGGGCCGCTAAATAATTAAATACAAAAATCATTAAATAAACAGACATGGTATTTAAACAGTGAAAACAAAGACAAATATGTTTCAAACTTGCATTGAATTCACCCAAGTCATTATTCTATCATAGTTCACAAAATGCATCAAATAACAAAGACAAATATGTTTCAAACTTGCAACACTGTCAACTTAGTATTTGTCTTTGTCTATTGGTTGAAGTAATGCAATTCATTCAAGTTTCAATTTGCAGAAGAAGAATAGTTTCTGGAACTTAAAATCGCAATGTGAAAAATGACTATCGCAACGCGAAATGAAAATCGCAATGACAAAATCGCAACGCGAAATGAAAATCGCAACGCGATTATAGTTTCGCGTTGCGATTTTCATTTCGTGTTGCGATTTTCGTTTCGCGTTGCGATTTTCATTCTCTCGTTGCGATTTTTATTTCAACCAAAAGACAAAACAGTGTTGCTAAAATATAGTTTCAAGAATAAACTATTTCTTCTTCTTCTGCAAATTGAAACTTGAATAGATTGCATTACTTCAACCAAAAGACAAAACAAATACAAATACTAACTTCAGAGTATTAAAGAATACACAGTTTAGCAGAATTGGCAGCAAACGAACAAATTTACTTTCAACCAAAAGACAAAACAAAGACAAATACTAACTTCACAGTGTTAAAGAATACACAGTTTAGCAGAATTGGCAGCAACTAAATAAATTTACTTCAACCAAAAGACAACAAAAGACAAATACTAACTTCACAGTGTTAATAAACAGTTTAGCAGTATTGGCAGCAACCGAATAAATTTACTAAACAATCTAAGTGAAATGGTTAATCTAAGTGAAATTACGAGTAAATTTATCATCAAGTTAAATATGGAAAATCTTAAACTTACCTCGTTGCGTAGAGTATGAACCTCATTCTGCAACGATACTACCATCTCACGTAGAGCGGCAACCTCACCACGTAAAGTAGACACCTCCACACGCCATGCACCATCGTTATCGTGTAGAGTACCGATCTCCTCACGCAAGGTATTGACCTCATCACGTAACTCCCTTGACTCATCCCGTGGAGGTGGAGAACAGGGAGATAGAAGTCGTGGCATCTTTTTCGGTCGCCTATCATGAGGTGATGATGGAGAAGAGGCTCGATGATGTGACGGGATAGGTGATGGCTCTCGTTGTAGAGGTGTATAGTCGGGTCGATCAGGTGATGGCTCTGGGTGAGGTGATGGCTCTCGAAGTGGAGGAAGTGGAGGCTGCTCATCATTCGTGCCATCAAGAAAACGCTGACTAGCTTGCCACCAATCAGTGGCAAGCTCAGCCTCCGTGGGTGTCAGTCTCATTAATAGAGTGTTGACCTCCTAAAAATATAAAAACTCAAACAAAGTTAAACGTCTACTATTAATAACTTGTTTATATATGATAGTATTTGTGTTAACTTACATTATTTATTGTCGCATATGGTATTAAGTCTTCCCAATCCAACAGACGTTTCCTCTTCCAGGAAATAGCCCTATGAATATCATTTGAAGTTTTTAATGCATATGTCTGCATGCTGGGGAAAGCCTCGAATATCCAAATCTACAAACAATATAATAACAAACATTAGTAATTGTTAAATAATTAATTATAATTTTGAAAACATTATATAGAAATTCTTACCTTAAAGGCCCAAACAAAGCCTGAAAAAGTGTATTTTGACCCATCGCCACGCAAACTTTTGCGGTCATCAAAGGCAGACGACAACTTAGTCCAGGTAGCTTTCCATATATACGAACCCCACGGAAACAGATTCCATGCATTTAGGTCCTCTACCAATAATATTAGCTCCTGAGGAATAGGTTGTCTGGCCTCTCTGCCTAAAAAGCCGGCATACAAAAGTACTAGAAGGCATACTCGGACAACATCGACGTCATTCATCCGAGTAAAACCATCTTTCTTATTAAACAATTTCTTCAGGTCGTCGACGTGTAAGTTCGACTTCTTTATTGACTCATCAGGAAAAACCCTGGATAACCATGATGGGCGGGTGATATGACGAGTGTACCGGCCTACATCATCGTGTCTGAATCGTAGACCAGTGATTAAGCAGAACTCCTTCCGCCCAAAACAAGTATACGCCGGTGGAAAATGAAACCATATCTCTTCCTCACCACGTTGTATACTGTTGGGTAGATCGCTAGTCATGGTCTGAAGCCACAAATGGGTCAAATTAGCATCTCCACCCGGATGCTGTACTCTCAGCCATGGCCCGAAGCAGGTTTCCTCAAACAATTTTC